ATTAAATTTTGCCATTTGCAACAATATGAATGGACCTGGAGGGTATTATGCTTAGTGAAATAAGTCAGAGAAAGACAAATACTGTATGTTATCATTATATGTGGAATCTAAAAAATAAACAAAGGAAGGACTATCACAAAACAGAAACTGACTCACAGATATAGAGAACAAACTAGTGGTTATCAGTGGGGAGAGGGCACAGGGGAGGGGCAAGAGAAGGGGGGAGGGGGATTAAGAGGTACGAACTACTATGTGTAAAATAAAGAAGCCTCAAGGATGTAGTGGACAACACGGGGAATATAGCCAGTATTTTATAATCACTTTAAATGAAGTATAATCTATAAATATATTGAATCATTATGTTGTATACCTGAAACTAATATAATACTGTAAATCAGCTATACTTCAGTAAACACAGACTTATTTGGATAGAAATGGGCAAATGTTCAATAATTGCTTTATCATTGTAATTTATACTCTGAGTACTTCAAAAAGTATTACAACTTCCTGGCCAATAGGAAGTTGAAATTGATTTTAGCCCTCCAAAGTTCAGGGCTCTATACCCACTGCCTGGCACAGGGCCTTCTACATAGCTATTCAGTATATATTTGTTAAATAAATGGAGACCATTTGCATCAAAACAAGCAGAAATTGAACTAGAGTCCCTGATAAAGTGGTTGAAGAGGACAGATTATAGTGTTTATTCATTTGAGGTCCTTGGAACATCTGCATTAGGGTTACTTGAAATGCTTGCTGAAATGCAGATTACTGGGCCATGCTCCAGATATACTGAATCAAAAATCCCTGGGCGTATGTCTCAGGAATCTGCATTTTAATGGGTACCTCTGGTGACTTTTAAGCACGGTCAAGTTAAAAGAAATAATGCACAGAGGGCAGGGAAAAGAAGACCAGGTAAAGCCCAGAGGAAGTATGTCTTTAGGGGGCAGTGCTTTTCAGCATTTTAACATCAGTCACAATTAGAGAATATTTGCAAAGCACCTTGGAGTACAAAGGAGGAGAGACTGATAGAAGCTGGAAGTAACCAGCGCCACGGACTTTGGCAGGTTCAGGCCCCACCTGGCTGCCGCAAGGATGAGGTATCAACATTTTGACACATCAGTAATCTATCTGTGACACTAAAGAAGCTCCATCAAGGGCGAGAAGGAAAGGAGAATTTAAAGGAGAAATTTATCAAACAAGGCTGAGAACAGTGCATTGCCCCCAAAGTTCCAGACGCTGCGGAGAATTCAAGGACTAGGGATGACCTTTGGGTTTCAGTAATTGGAAGGTTAAGGGAATCATTGATGTTTTAATGCAGAGGTGAAGGGAAGGAGAAGGCATTTGTAAAGAAATAAAGGGAATGACCTACAAGGAAGTAAAGGACACAAGTATAGATGACTATTGGAAGATTTTAAGTGCTAAAGGAAAGGAGACAGTAGCTGGAAAAGTATCAGGAAAGGTTTTGGGGGAGGGGGAGGGAAAGTATTACAGAAACCTTTCTTTGGTACTTTAAGATCAGAAGGTAGTTTGCATTGGCATGGGTTTCATATTAGACTACTTAGTAGTCTAATAAAGGACCTCAAAAGTCCCCTTGAATTATAACAAGAAATAATAGTTACAAATCAGGCCATTAGTCAGAGAGAATGCTGCCATTGCGGTGGATACTACTTCAAGAGCTGATGCTTTCAGAGCGGATGTCTTTTGGCTTGTCCTAATTCAGGTTCAAGTTCTTTAATCTATTGTCTTCATCATCAGTCATAGAAATCCCCTTCAGCACACTAGTGCCAGGTTAATCACAAGCTGTATTTTATAGCTTTTCAATCTTCTAAGACTCTTTTATGCAGACTGACAGGAACAATTGGAAATTGCTTTAAATAAAGTGATTTTAGGAATGTATTTGTGGTAGACAGAATAATGCCCCCCTGAAGATGCCCATGTCCCAATCCCCCAAAACTGTGAATATGTCATTTTGCATTGCAGGGGGAAATTAAGGTTATAGTTGGAATTAACTCTGTTAATCAGCTAACCTTAAAATAGGAGAATAACCTGGATTATCCAGGCAGGCTCGATTTAATCACAAGAGTCTTTTAAATATGGAAGCCTCAGAGAGAGATTTGAAGATGCTATGCTGCAGGTTTTGAAAATGGAGAAAGGAGCCATAAGCCAGGGAACATGAGCAGTCTCTAGAAGCTAGAACAAGGCAACTGATTTTCCCCTGCAGCCTCCAGAAGGAATACAGCCCTGCCAACACAATGATTCTAGCCAATTCTGGGCTTCTAACTTGCAGAACTATAAGAAAATTAATTTGTGTTGTTTTAAGTCACTGAATTTGTGGTGATTTGTTACAGAAGCAATAGTAAACTAATACAATATCTAAGTTTTAAAATCTTAATTTTAAAACATAAAGTCTCACTTCTCTGTCAGACCAGAAGTTCCTTCAGACCAGTAATCAACCTCTATGCTTGATGCACAATATACAAAATAAACATTTGTTGAACTTGAACCTGTATATCACATTGTCTAGCCACCATTTCTTGGGAGAGTTGCTTACTGTTCTTAAATAAAGTTTCCACTCACCTGGGAGCATGCTACATAGAGAAGCATTTCCGTTGCAGTCAGTACCTGTAGTTCCGAACTTCTTCCTTAGTGACTTTTGATTGACTCTTATTTATTAAATATGAGCATTGAGAACCATAGCTATGTTATGAATACCATAAAAGATACAACATTATTTTCTAAAAAACAGGTGTTTTTTGTCTTAATGTTATGGAGTTGTAAGCGTTCTTTATATATTCTAGACATCAGGCTTTTATTATATATGTCTTGTAACTACTTTTTCCCCCAATCTTGGACTTGCCTTTTCATTTTCTTAACATCAGCTTACTGAGCCACACAGCCAGGATCCTTTGTTAGGTCTTCAGTTTTCACCAGACTATGACCTTTGCATGGAAATTTTATTTCTGACTTAGTTTTCTATCTCTGCCTTTCATCTTTAACTAACTCCAACTCCTCTGACATTTTACATATCTCCATAAGCGTCTTTTGTTTTTAGAAGATGAGGAATAAGTAGAATACAAGTTCCGTGGCTTCTTGTACCTCAGTTTCAACTGCTCTAGAGTAAGACCACCTATCTAAGAAACCTATCTAAGAAACACCACCCTCAACTGAAGTTTGTTTTATGCCATAGAAGCTTATATATATATTCGTACCATCCCAAACAGTCTCAAAACTTGGTGAAAATCTATAAAACATTTTCTCATGATGCAGAAACAGACCTACTTATTTTTATAGATTTGTATTCATTTCCTTCCCAGTCATTAGATGAAACTACCAAAATTGACAGAATAAGGGCAGTTTTAAATGTGTTATACACTGCTCTTTGGGATGTAATATGTATTAGTTATCTATTGCAGCTTAAAACAAACATTGATTATGTCATAATTTCTGTTGGTTAGGAATCTAGGAGCAGCTTAGTGGTTCCAACTCGGGCCCTCTTAGGCTGCAATCAAGTTGTGAGTCAAGGCTGTCGTCATCTTAAGGCTTGACTGACAGAGAATATACTTCCAAGTTCCTTCACGTGGCTGTTGGCTGGTCTCAAAAACCTGCCCCTAAGCTCACTCATGTGGGCCTCCCCACAGGGCTGCCTCATAGTGTGGCAGCTGCTTCCTGCAGAGTGAGCCATCATGCTAAGAGAGCACACAAGCAGAAGCCACAGTCTTTTTAAAAACCTAATTTTGGAATTGACATCCCATCACTTATATTCTATTAGAAGCAAGTCTGTAAGTCCAGCCATACTTAAGGGGAGGAAGGGTTTACATGAGGGCATGAGTACCAGGGAGTGGTGATCATTGGGGCCATCTTAGAAGCTGGGAGTACCACACATATAAATTAGTGAGTTCATTGGTTTATCGGAGACTAGATAATCACGTTTATAATATACCTAACTGAAATTAAGTTCAGTAATATTAGAACATTTTGTAAAAAAAAAAAAAAAAAAAACTACAAATAAATCTCCCATGTTAGAAGATGTAAAATAAAAATGGAAGCCTTTTAACTTTAAGACAGGAAATTTAGAAGGTATCGTATAATAATCAACACAATTTACTCTTTTATACGATACTCCACTCAGATTGTCCACTTCTGACTTTCTATTACAATTCTTCCCTTCATGTTTTAAATTCTACTTATTCCTCATCTTCTAAAAATAAAAGATGCTATGGAGATATGTAAAATGTCATAGGAGTTGGAGTTAGTTAAAGATGAAAGGCAGAGATAGAAAACTAAGTCAGAAATAAAATTTCCATGCAAAGGTCATAGTCTGGTGAAAACTGAAGACCTAACAAAGGATCCTGGCAGTGTGGCTCAGTAAGCTGATGTTAAGAAAATGAAAAGGCAAGCCCAAGACTGGGGGAAAAAGTAGTTACAAGACATATATAATAAAAGCCTGATGTCTAGAATATATAAAGAACTCTTACAACTCCTTAACATTAAGCAAAAAACACCTGTTTTTTAAAAATTAATGTTGTATCTTTTATGGTATTCATAACGTAGCTATAGTTCTCAATGCTCATATTTAATAAATAAGAGTTAAAAAATAAACAAGCCAGCATTCTTTATTAGCTCTCACTAGAATTTATGTAGACTGCCCAAAGTGGCCTCTACCTAGTAGCAATATTTTTCAGTCCTTTTTTGCCATTTCCTTCAGTGCTGGCTTAAGCTACCTGAGATGTGTTACTTTGTGTTTATAAATTTCATACAATGAGATAAATAAAGGTATATTTTTACTATTATAAATAAGTGAATTATGGTCGATAACAAACAGAACAGGTTTTGTATTCATGAATAGTGGGTCTTTATGAGATAATTCTATTCTCCTAAACTTTTCTTTTGTCTCTCTAACAAGCATATTAGCCCAAAATCATTCTTTGTAGTATTAAGCTGCCTACTTATTATTTAAATTCCAACACTTACTTTTACATGATTATATGTATTTTCAACAGTGATTCTTTTATGGCACACCGAGAAAGTATACAACAGATGATGAGAAATTTTTCTGAACCTTTTGGAAGAGACCTGTTCAGCATCTCTGATGGCAGAGGAAGAGCTCGTAACCATACGAGACATGAGGATGGAGAAAATTCCTTGACTGTAAGTTCTTTACTTTAAAGTTAGTAAAGAAAAGTATTACAGAAGAATATATCTCTGACAACAGGATATGACTAATACTTACGTTATAGAAATAACTTATGTAAAAGGAGGGACCAGTTGGAAGGCTGAGTTCTTTAACAATGAATTGTTAATTGTATAGAATTCCACTGTGCTACTAAAACTTTTAGCACCATAAAGTTATATATTACAAGCCAAACTTAAAACATTGTTTTCCATATGTATATAGTTTTTTCCTCACCTTATCATTTACTCTCATGTCTTACATTAGAACAGGCAAGGAAATATCATTGCATACAACACTTTTTTTCCCACTTTAAAATAAAAAACTATAGTATAATGCTTTATCTCTATTGGACCAGGAAAAACCAGTCTTCTGCATGGCTATCTTGGACCTTCAAAACTGAGATTAACTTTTAATTGTATTCAAAAGCCTTGCAAAACTACAAAATATATTCAGAAGTCTTGTCTGAGAGCAAAACCAAAAGGTTACAAACATACTCAACTCAAAAAAAAAAAAAAAAACAGGATATTTATATACCTTAAGTATTTTCTGCTTATTTCTATTGCTTCTTCAGCCTCAGGAATGGCAGTTCTAGAACAACAAATCCACAAGAGTTTCTAAAAGATAAATCTCTGCAATAGAAATATAGATATTTGGAACTCAGTAAACATTTTGAATTGGTCAGTTGGGAAACTTCGCAAATCTTCCAGGAAAACATTTTCGTATTTTCTATTTGCAGTGGTCTTAAATAGAGCAAAATGTTTCAAATACTCCTAAGACGTTTGATGGATAACATTGCATTTGCCATTTAAATGAAAGTAATCTTCACCTTCTTTTTCACATACATATTATTCCAATATATATATATTAATTACATTCCAGTTATTTTTTAAACTAGTTAATGTGGTATCATTATATATATTTTTTACTGTTAGGGCTATAAATTTCCATAAAAGTTGAAAATTAAGGTCAAAGGAAAAAATTGTCAAAGAGAGCAGAAACATCAAATATGACATTCTGAAATTTTATCTTTCACATGAGCATTGAAGCATTTTACATATCTGCTATAACCACAGCAAAGAAAGAGTAGGGCTGTACGTAGTGCTTTGTATTTACGTGCATAAATAAGCTACTCGTAGCCTTTGTAGAAAAAGAAGTGACAATTTTATTCCCTTGTAAGCATAGAAAGGAGATCTGTTTATAATTCAACTATAAAGTTCTTATTGAGGATGCCTAAGCTGTAACTCTGCTGGTCATCCATTGGAAGTAGAAGTAAATGTTTCTTTCCTGGGTACTTGTGCTTCAAACATCTGAATGTTTAATGAGCTGGAATAAGAAATATATGTAACCAAATAAAGAGATAAATTTCTGTGAAACTGTAGCTTATATGATTCATAATTTAGAACTATTTGTATTTTAGCTTGCCTCATATTTACCTTGCCAATGTGGCTTGAAATCAAGTTTTGGGGAACCAAAAACACCCACACAGCTGAAGTAATATGGTTGCATAAATGTGATGATTGGATAAGGAAAGTCAAGCAGGAAAACAACTCTGAATATAAAGGAAGGCCAAGAACAACATTTGAATGAAAAACTAAAATAGTTGCTACTTTGTCTGGTTTATAGTGACATAAATTAACTTTTGTGTAAGATTGTTAATCATAGGTGTAGGCTAAAGTCTGTAGCATTATCCATTCTGGATGATGCAAATGTTCTAAATCTGCCCTGTTCAGTGTGGTTAGCCACCTATCGAGCACTTGAAATGTGCCTAGTGCTACTGAATTTTTAATTAAATTCTAATTATTTTAAAACGAATTTTAAATAGCCACATGTGGCTATTGGCTACCTTAATGGAGAGCATGATGATATTCAAATAGACTGGAAAGCTTTTAGCTTTTTTTTAAACCAATGCTGAGTAAAGTGCACTAATCACCTATATGTGAACCTATCGTCTTATGTTTTAATTTAATAAAAACCTCTTTAAACATTTTCCCAAGAAAAACTGCAGTACTCATCTACCTATTAAATAAAAAGTAAATGGTAATTTTTACTATATCAGATTTAGACAAAACCATTTCATAAAACTTTGAGTTTTACAACTTTTTATATAGTCAGTACTGCTAGGTAGTATTTAGTTGCTTCTCCCATCTAAAATCAAGTAGTATACATTCTTCTTCAGTTACATTATATTGTATCAACTGTCTTAGAAAGCTAACACCAGTGGGAGGTTTTCTTGTTCAAACTATGAAAACTCTGCCAACCAAGAGTACTGAGCACTGTCCTAGGGCAGTTGAAGGGCAGTAGTAATTTTTAAATATAGGAATTTCATCCAGTTTTACAAGGAACATTCAGCTTCTCTTTTAGCCAAAACACTTTTTCTTTCCCGGTACATTATAATTTATACTGGTGAGATATGGCTCACCTTTTTTCCCCTAGGGTGTGATACATTTGACATGTTTATGTCTCAGTATGAAAGAGTTATGTAATAGCAAAGCTAAATAAATTAATTAAAAGAAAACAAAAACAAACAAACAACAGTAGCAACAGAAGGCCTCTATCCTAACTTGACTTTTCTAAGTCAGTGTCTTATAACTAGATGTGAAAGTAGAAACAGAAATTAGGAATTGACTGCAAAAGATGAAAAAGATGGCTGCCTAGTTTGAAAAGAGCACAGTGAAGAAAACAGTAGACTTTTTGAGCATGCTGGCTGTTCTATTTGAACTTTTATTAACAGTTTACACAAACTTTTTATTCTCTTTTTATGAAGTTATAAATTTTAAAATGAGTATTTTGATTAAGTAGTGAGCCATATGCTGATGCTTTTAAGCATAGTGGATGAAAATTTATATTTCAAATAGACACTTGATAACTTTTTTCTTTATTTTTGGCCCATTTCTTGACGTTTGTCATCTTTAACAGCCCTATTAGGAGGGAAAACAGAGACACCTACAGAAGTAGAAGAAGCATCAGCTTTGCCGTTTTCCTGTGTTTGTACTATTAGCATTTTCTTCAGTTCATGATTTCTTTATTGGGATACTTTCAAGCCAGTTGTCCATTTTGAGAGGATTGGTTTGTTTAAAACTATAATTTAGGGCTTCCCTGGTGGCGCAGTGCTTGGGAGTCCGCCTGCCGATGCAGGAGACGCGGGTTCGTGCCCCGTTTCGGGAAGATCCCACATGCCGCGGAGCGGCTGGGCCTGTGAGCCATGGCCGCTGGGCCTGCGCGTCCGGAGCCTGTGCTCCGCAAATGGGAGAGGCCACAACAGTGAGAGGCCCGCATAACGCAAGAAAAAAAAAAACAAACAAACAAACAAAAAAAAAACTATAATTTAATCTGTAAATTTATTTAATTAGGCAGTTTATAATTGAAGATATGACATGTGACCATTTGACAATTAGATTGAGAGATGGTGCCAGAGTCAAGTTTTCCTTTCAGTAAAAAGAAACAGAAAGAGGAATTTTACTGGTACATCAATACACTTTGGAGATTACTGTTCTACATATACAGTATAAGTATATATCAACTGATATAACTTATAAAATTGAATATAAACACAGTTTTCTCTAGTTTTTTTTGTCATAACTTACACAGGGAGATAATTATCACAGAATAATGGTAAAACTTTATATATACCTTTTACCAAGAAATTCAAAATTTATTTTCAACATCTAAAACTTCCAAGTAATGAAAGTTTTTAATTTGTATATGTATCTAAAAATTTATTTTCATTCATCTGTACCTATTGAGAAATATAATTTATGAACTATTAATTTTGATTATTCTATTATACTTAATGTTCTTTTTCCTATCGAAGACTCCAAATATCTTTAAATATCTATATGTGATCCTTTCTGAAGTCCATATTTCTTATTCCATAAATTAGTTCTTAGGAGGTATTCATTAACTTTTTAGCCAAGTATCTCTACTAATTTTTTGAAATGTTATTAATTTAGACACTTTTGATTTTTAACAGGTTAAAGGAAAGATTAACTGATTTTTTAAAAAATATGGAATAATTGAACAAAGGAAAGATGATATCATATTAATCATTGTACCTTATGTGCTAATTTTGGTGTGAATTTGCATTTCCTTTGAGAAATGTTTGTCTCAATCCATAGCAAATACTTTCTCTTTCAACTGCCTTTAACAAATACTAGAGTAGTCTTATTTAAAAGTGATATATGGTCTCTCTATTTGCCTGCCAGGATCCTGTCAGGCTCTACAATGAATAATAAGCAGATAACTTTTAAAATATATGTTGAATTCTTTTTGATTAAAAAGTTCTATAATTTGGTTAGCTCTGAACTATGTGATTATGCAGTGCATTTCTCTGTTTTTCAGAGATTGTTATATAATAAATATCATAACCAAAATTAATTGGATTTTTTTTCTAGGTGATGAGTTCTCTTGTGGCTTTTGGCAGTTTTGGTAGTATTGTTCATATCATAAGACACAAACCATTTGAGCAATATTTTCTGACAAATATTTATTTTTCATTAACTCAAGCAAACTGAATTGGCATGCCCAATTTCATAATGACTTTTTAGCATTTGTTACTGAAAACTTGTGTCATGTGTTAAATTTATCTTAGAGTGTTTAGGCCTGTGTTTTGTGAAGTAAGTAATATCAACATAATAAAATCAGTTTTCCAAAAGAAATAGTACATTTTAGTTGATGACTACTCACTTGATTTGCAAAAGGGATCCCCACAGTTGTGTTTAAAAGTTGGAAACTTCCCCAAGCTTATGAAGACTTTTCAAAAGGTGAAAAACCACCAAACTGTAGATAGACAAGCACATTTGGAAAAGCTCAGATTGACTGCTTTCTCTAGGACTCTATTGCCAATTCATTCATGCTTTTCCTTTCCCATGTTCAAGCATGGCTACTCTGCAACCAGCTTTTCTCCCACCCCTGTTTCTCCAGGCCTTTGGTCCTGTTTTCTGTGGCTCTAGCTTCTAACACATTAAAGGCAAGCTGA